ACCTCAGCATGTTTCTGGACTGTGGGAGGAAGCCGGAGAACCCGGAGAGAACCCACGCTGCACGGGGAGAACATGGAGACTCCACGCAGAAAGATTCCGGGTGCCCCCACCGGGAAGTGAACCGACAACCTTCTAGCTGCGAGGCAACAGTGCTCACCAACTGCGCCACCTTGCAGCCTAAACTGTTGTGCAAAAAAGTGTTTCAAAGTCAGTCATCAGATGGTGACTAAGAATTTTCAACGCACAGTCTTACTTTTAGTTTCACTCACGTCTCTCCTACATGCTTGTAAATGAACTAAATGAATCAGTGCAAGAAGTGTTAAAAGGAGATATTACACACCTATGAAGGTGATCTCTGTACGTATCACTTGTAGTTTTACGAACAGTCTTATTAATGTTTGCTACCAAAGCTGTAAATAAACTGCAGAGACACTTTGCAGTTAATGTAGGTGGGGTGTGGTTGGAGGAGGAGGAGGATTTCTGAAGAAGTGAAACTCTGACCCAATGAAACATAAGCTGGAGGATATATAAGCAAAGCTCTAAACTTGTTCTCCTCACAGAATCTGCTCGACTTTCTCTCCACGATGAAGCTAATGTTTGGAGCTCTGATCCTGGTTCTGGCTGTGTCCACAGGTAAGAGAAGCTTATCGTTTACACCTGTCAGGTCAGTGAAGACATGAATGTTAGTTGAAGGTCGAATGTGAGGAAAGTTAATGGAAGAAGTTTGTTTATTTCATAAACTCTACCTGGTCTGCAGAAAGCTTAACGTAAAGTCGCTGCTACTGTTAGTCCTTATCTTTATTATTGATTCTTTATTTTCCTCTGATTCGTTTTATGATTCATGTTCTGGGGCTGGTCATTGAATCACAACCGCTGATCTTGGAAAATGGTAGTATTGTTCAAAGGGCTCTTTTATTTTTTGCATTTATATCATCTTGTTTTCATGCTGGTCATTTCTTTTTTAAACTGTGGTTGTTGAGAGAAAAGCTGAAAGCTGTGATGAGGAAGCTCTCCTCAGAATAGAAAACACCACTTCTGGATTTCAGAGATCAATTTCTTAACTGTTTAACTATTGTGTGTAGAATGATGATGTGCCTTATGTTGGGAGAATGTTATTCCATGTGTGACAGTCGGCCTTTTCTGTATTCCTCCACAGCATATGGACTGAGATGTTACGTCTGTGTAACCGCCGACGGCAGCCCCTGCACAACCATCCTGACTTGTCCTGCCAGCATGGACCGATGTTCCACACTCAGTGCTCTGGGTAAGTTGTTCTTGCAGAACACAGCTGTTAATGGCTGTAGGTCAAATGAGCTGATATGTTGCTGAACTCAACGCCTGGTGCCTTTGTGTGTTGCTGAAACTGAAGTTTTCATCCCTTATGTCTTACAGGTATCACCACTAAGAACTGTATGGTGAGTGCAGCATGCGTAAGCCCAATAAAATGCTGTAACGGGGACCTGTGTAACAGTGCCATACCAACTGTTCCCAGTGTCCTGCTCCTGCTGCTGTCTTCAGCCATCATCACTNGTAAGAAACCGCCTAAAGGAAATGGGATTTACATCCAGAAAAGCTAAACAAAAGCCATCATCAACACCTAAACAGAAAAAAACACAAGGCTACAATGGGCTCAGGAAAAGCACTGGTGGACTGTGGATGACTGGATGACAGTCATATGCGGTGATGAATCGCATTGGGCAAGGGGATGATGCTGGAGCTTTTGTTTGGTGCCGTTCCAATGAGATTTATGAAGACGACTGCCTGAAGAAAACATGCAGGTTTCCACAGTCACTGATGATATGGGGCTGCATGTCAGGTAAAGGCACTGGGGAGATGGCAGTCATTACATCTTCAATAAACACTTTTCTCATTCCATCGATTGAGAGGATGTTTGGGGATGATGACATCACTTTTCAAGATGATAATGCATCTCGCTATAGAGCAAAAACTGTGACAGCTTTCCTTGACACATAAGGTCAATGTCATGGCCTGCAAATAGTCCGGATCTCAATCCAAACTGAAAATCTGTGGTGGAAATTGAAGAAAATGGTCCATGACAAGGCTTCAACCTGCAAAGCTGATCTGGCGACAGCAATCAGAGAGAGTTGGAGCCAGACTGATGACGAGTGCTGTTTGTCACTCATTAAGTCCAAGCCTCAGAGACTGCAAGCTGTTATGAAAGCCAGAGGTGGTGCAGCAAAGTACAGGTGGTGTGTTGTAGTGTTTGTTTGTTTGTTTGTTTCTCATGATTCCATAATTTTTTTTCCCTCTGCTTGATCTAAAAAAGTAACCAGAAAGTTGTTATTTTAAATGACTTTAGTTTTGTGGCATGTCTGGGTTTTTTTTCTACAAAATTAAACAACTGAATGAACATCCTCCAAGACTGGTGGTTCCATAGTTTTTGCCAGGGGTTGTATGTGCTGATGAGCTGACTAGGTGAGTGGAGGTAGATGAGTAGAAAGCAGGACAGAGCAGGTAGTATAACTGGTGACAAAACACCGCTAAAATCAACACATTTGGTGAACTAATGGAGACATATTTGAGGCACTGCCTTAACCTTAACCTAGACATTTGCATTCGCTGCATTTGTGTATGAAAATAGTTTTGCATCCTGGAGAAGAACATCCCTCTCCAGAAAGGTCTTTTCAAGGTTCGACTCAGGACAACTGCAGCTGTTGAGGATTTATTAGGAGGCGAAGAAACAAATTAGAAACAAATTCGTTGAGGCTGAATGAGGCTGAATTCTTACGTTTCGCTCCAGCCACAGAATGAGGGCTCAGAGCACAGGCTGGTGTTCGGTTAAATACACAAATAGCATTTTGATGTAATGCAGTTATTTGATGTTTCTTAAAACAATAATTTCCTGCCATGACACACAGTCTCCTGCATAATGTGTGCATCCTCGATGTTCAAACCAAACCTTCACCCATGTTGTTCTCAAGCTTCCTTGAGTTTCCATTTCCTTGGACATACTTTGACCGTGCAGCCACTCCTTCATAGCTATTGATTGATTTTAAATAACATACAATAATCCTTTATTGCTTCACACGCCTGGGGACATTTCTGTTGTCACAGTTGCAACATCTTTCCTAGCAGCACTAAACATATGCATAAAAATAATATGTACGATGTATACAAGGATGAAAAATGTAAATTAATAAATGTGGCATTTAGTACAAATACAGTATTCGTAAAAGTGCAAAAAAATTGTCGTGCCATCCATCCAT